ACACGTCCATCACGATCGCCGCCCGTAAGCGGCCCGCTGCCTCCTGCCCGCCGCCGCCACCTGAGTCCCACCCGCACGCGGGGTTCGTACGCAAATGTGCCTTTCAATACTCAGCGTTTTCCGAAAATAATTTTGTCACGTGAACCGTGTAGGATCGGCGCGAACGGGACGCCGTCCTTGGCGGAAGAGGCGAGCGCCAACGCGATTGAAGCGGAGGAGGACGCGTCCCGCCAGCGGTCGGCGGGGGCCCCCGGCGACAGATTTGTCCCACTGAGGCGCTCGTCACCCGCCGTCAGCAGCACGGATGAAGGCGTCGGCCTCTCCGGCCCCCCGCCCAAGCGGGATGAGCGCAGACAGCCGACATCTGCTCGACCTGCACCTGCTCCTCCTCCTCCTCATTATCTTCATCATCTGCCCGTCACAGGCAACGCGATGAGGAGCTACACACCAGAAACGCCAGGTCAGGATCGTCATTGTCATCCTTTTTTCATTTTTTTGCAGACATGATCCAAAGATTTGTATGAAAATATGAAAAGGTCTTTTTTTTTTTAATATTGATTGATTCGATTGGTCTGAATAGAAAAGCAACATTGCAACATGAGTATGAAGCACACGTGACAATTGTCGAAATGTTTGTGGAACACCTTTTCAGTTTTGAAACTTCTTTTTTGCGTTTTGTTTTTTTGTTTTTTAAATTGGTACACACATGAAAAGTCGAGATATTGAGACCCAGAAAAAAAAAAAAACATGTCATTTTGTTGATCAAGTGCGGGACGAGTGCGGCCCTCGCGCATCGGCGGCGGCGGCGGCGCCCGGCCTGCGTCCTTACAAGCCTCGCGGCGCCAACGAACTCTTCTTCATGCCTCACGTCGAAGCCGACGCGTCCTCCTCGTGCACCACCATGGAGAGCTCGCACACGGGTAAGCCGACGCTCGCCCGCTCGCTCGCTCGCCCGGAACGGTCACGTTGTCGCCGAGCAAAGCGTTGAAACGTTTTCTGAGCGGGATCGGCTTTCCAGCCTGGTCCCTTTGCTTCAATGAAATCAACTAGCCCCTTAATCAATTAAAAATTGAGATATTTTAAAAATGATTATTATTAATTTGTCGTGAGTCATTCGTCAGTTGATTTATTATTTAAAAAAAAATAAAAAGTTGTGACCTCAGTAAAACAATGAACCTATTTGCTTTGTTTGGAGTCATTTACTCATTGGAAATATCATAAAAATGCAAATGAATGACTTTAATTCGAAAATATTTTTTTTCCTAGTCTGCGTTTCTACCATGTTTCATAAAAAAAAAAAAACTTGTCATTTTGTTGATCAAGTGCGGGACGAATGCGGCCCTCGTGCATCAGCGGCGGCAGTGGCGGCGCCCGGCCTGCGTCCTTACAAGCCTCGCGGCGCCAACGAACTCTTCTTCATGCCTCACGTCGAAGCCGACGCGTCCTCCTCGTGCACCACCATGGAGAGCTCGCACACGGGTAAGCCGACGCTCGCCCGCTCGCTCGCTCGCCCGGAACGGTCACGTTGTCGCCGAGCAAAGCGTTGAAACGTTTTCTGAGCGGGATCGGCTTTCCAGCCTGGTCCCTTTGCTTCAATGAAATCAACTAGCCCCTTAATCAATTAAAAAAAAAAAAAAAAAAAAAAAGGGGGCGGGGCTTGCGTTTACCTTTGGCAGCTGCCGCTTTGTAACAGGCACCGCTTCATTATTGATGCGCTCCACAAAGGGTGCGAGACCACAAAGCGCCGCGTGTGCGTCCTCAGGTTTGGACGACGCGGTGCCGCCGCTGTTCAGCGCCGAGGTTCTGGGCCGGCAGGATCCGGGCCTGGACCGCGGCGTCGCCATCAAGCACGCCGAGGGCATCTACAGCAAGAGGCGCACACACGCGCCGCTGCTGCTCCCGGGTCAGCTGGCCAGGCCACACGCACATCGTCATCATCGTCGTCCTCTTCCCCCCCTCATAGAGCTGGCGGGGGCCCATTCCCAACGCCTCCATGCAGTCGAACATCCCCCCCCCCCCCCCCCCCCCCCAGCAAATAATGTGTTTATGTGTGCGTTTGTGCTGCCGGCCAACGCTGCGGCCTCAGATCGACGCTTTCCTCATGCGAGTCAGCACGAAGCTCCCACAATGGAGCGCTTTGGTGCGCCGCGGGACAGGAACCGTTTGCCCCCCGGGCTCGCGAGCAGGGAGGCGTGGCTCCTGGAGCAGCTGCAGCGCCTGTCTGATCTCATCCTCACCACCGGGGGCGCCGACGTGCCGCCCGCGCGGACGCTGTACGGCGAGACGGAGCCGCCGAAGGTGCAAACACTTCTTTTCAGGAAACGAATCACATTCTCGAATGTCTTTTTTTTTTTTCTCTAAAATGTCAGTGTTTGTTTTCTGAAGGAAGACGTCTTTGATTTTGGGGGAGAAAATTGGCTCCCTTTTTTTAGCGAGTCAAGTTTTGATTTTAGACGTAATGAAAACAGCGTTGATTTTATTGGAGCGGGAGAACCCCAATTGAACGAGAACAGTCAATTTTCCTTTCAGAAAAAAGCTCATTTGACAAAAATTTTACCCCAAAAATATTTTCCACAAAAGTATATATTTTTTTTCTCTTAAAAACGTTTTTAAAAATCATCCTATGATGGTTTTTTTGTTTTTTTGGGGGGGAAAATTCTCATCCGTTTTTTTTTCTCTCTTCACTTCAATCTCTTATTTTTTAAAAATTGAAAATACCGCTTTTATCTTGGAAGATTACAACTTATTTTTCCCATCTAAAAATCAAAATAGCTTTTCTGATTTTGGTTGCCTCCCGTTTGTCGTTTCCGCACCTTTTCTGCCCCTCTTGGTCGGCAGGCGTGGCCACGGCAGGCGCGCGCCCCCTGCGGCCTTTGTCCGGCCGACAGAGACGAGTCCAGCACCACCACGTCCACGCTGGACACGGACCGCCTCGTCCGGGTCTTCGGTGCCCACCGCATCCAAAGCGCCAAGACCCCCAAAAGCCTTCAAAAGATCTCCAAGTCTTCGGCCCGCCTCCACAAACTCTACGACCACGTGGCCAAGCAACGGGAGCAGTGGGAGGGGCGGGGCTTCAACGGCACGCTATCCGAAACCACGGCCACCGAGGCGTCCAACGTACGTTTGCTGTGTGTCGCTTTCTTCTGAGAAAAAGTCACATTATCGTGAAACTGCATTTTCAGTTTTTTTTCTCTCACTCCCCCCAAAAAAGAGGTGATTTTGGATTTTTCTAGTGTGCCACTAATACTCGGTGGTGCCAAAGTGTTGTTGTGTTGGTGTGACTTGATGTTGCCTTTGGCAGGTGACTGGCGAGTCGTCGTCGACGGGCTCCTTCGCCAAGACGCCTCAGCACACCGCCTCCAAGAAGCTCCTTAGCAGAGGCGTCCAAGCAGGCGAGCAAAAAAAAAAAAAAAACTCAAAAAAGAATTGAACTCTCACCTACTCGGGCTTCTAAGTCATGCTGTGCAAAATTTATACGCAGAAAAAAACAGACTGACTTAAATATTTTTTTTCCCCCTCCAAGGTGACGTTGAGTTCGTGTGCAACGCGACGCGTCTTTGCACACGAGACGTGGGAACCATGTTCCCGCCCCCGGGACGAGCACGAAGGAGCGTGCCCAAAGGTCACGTGACCTCCCTCAAGCACAAGAAGACCCGAACGCCGCCCAGGTTGCCCAAAGGTACGCGCGCGCGTTTCGGTGATTCAGCATTCTCGACAAATCGAGGCTGAGTCCAGAAACTTGAAATGAGTGATACTTTAAAAAGAAAAAAAACAAGTAGATGTAGGCAATTTTCCATAAAAAAAATCAGTATTCTTTTAAAACAGGAATTCCATTTTCTTCAGACTTTTTTTTTTTTTTTTAAGAATTGAAGTCTGATTAGCATAAAGTTGTCGGGGGATTTCCGATTCATTTTTTGGAAGAAAGGAAATAAAAAAATTTGATGAGAAGTTATAATTTTGTTGGAGAATAGCAATTTTTGAAGTGTCTATATTTAAAAAAAAAAAAAAAGTTGCAATTAATTCCACTCCCCTTTCTTTCTAAATTGCGACGGCATCGTCATTGTGCGGCGTTCCAGCGGTGTGGTGGTTCATCCCGCTGGATGACTCGTCCAAGGAGAACCGTCCCGAGGAGCAAGGCGAGGCGGAGGCGGCGCAACCCGGGCCCAGTACCGTTTGGTACGACACCGCGGCCAAAACGGCAAGACAACCTCTCAGGCCGCGACAACAATTTGACGATGACGATGACGACGTCGCCCATCCCGGATCCTCCGCAAGCTGCCACCAAATCACGTCTCTGCAGGTTCAAGTTCACATGTTCGCAAGTACCAAAACAAACAAACAAACATTTCCTCTGGGCCTTTTTTGGACTTGAAAATTCCTTTTGTAAAGTGAAACACACAAAAGGCAGAAGCTTTGGTCTGTCTGAAATGTTGAAAGTTGCAAAATGCTGAAATGCGCTCCGTCTGCAACACTGTTGTTGTGTTTGTGGCGCCCCCTACAGGAAGCTCTCGCCACGCGACGCCCCGACTTCATCTCGCACTCTCGTCAACGCGTTCAAATCTTGAGTGGGCGAAAGATGAACGCGGCACCGCCAGGTCACCGCATCAGTTTTTCAACACGCCTGCTTGAAAATGTTTTTTTCAGCTATTTTCATTTCTGTGCTTACAAAAGCACGTTTGGATAAAAATCTGAAAAGAGGAACAAATTTTACATTCAAACAAAACTTGTTTTGCTTCTCGTTGTGAAACTCTGAATTTTGGTGGCGGTCTGCCTCCGTGAGTGTAATGTGCGGCGTTTTTGTGCGCTTGCAGGCAGCGGCATGCCAAGGAGGGCGGTGCCCAGGAAGGAAATGAAGCAGCGGACCAAACAGTAAGAAAATCCCCCCCCCAGCCCCCTCCAAACATTCGTTTTGGTGTTTCTTTCTTGCCTGCCAAAAGTGTTTTGTGGTTCAGGCTGTACGAAGGACTTCCGGAGGTTCTCCGCAAGTTGGAGATGGAGCGAAGGGACACGCAACTGCGATTAAACAGACTCAACCTGCAGATCTTCAACAAGGTGGATAAATACGACAAAATCAACATCACTCACCAAACGTCCAAATTTCTCACAAAAAAAAAAAAATTGTAAACTTTTTTTCTATGCACAAATGATGTTAAATACAAGCTTTTTTTAATTGAAAGAAATACGTTCTTGAAAAAGTTTTTAGTGCCAAGATTAAGACTAAGTTAAAAAAACAAACAAACAAACAAAACATCGCCCCCATGACGTCTTTCTGTGCCAACTTTATCTTGTATTTGCAGAGAATCACCAAACGTCGCCTGGAGAACCGCAAGGCTGTCCAGTATGAAAACCTCTGGTGATTTTGGCCAATGGATTTTTTTAAAAAACATAACTTGTGACCCTGTCATTCAAAAAAAAAAATTGCAGCATTTATAATAAAATAATACACTTTGAGGAAAGGCTGAGGGTTGACAAGCTACACTTTATTGATCAGCGTCTCGCACACGACACACACAGAAAAACCGCAACATTAAAAGCATCACATTTAAAAACAACAAAAAAATAATTTTAGAGCAGCCACGCAGGAAGGCCAGAGCCGACATTAGAACCGCAAACTTGCTTACCGTGCTGCCTTTCAATTCAATAAATTCCATTTTTTTTCTTACAAAGTGCAAAATGCATGAGGACGTCCGCTTGGATACCTTTCTGTGACTGCTCCGGTGTTACGTGTCGACGACCCTCAGAGCTCAGTGGCCGCTGAGCATTGAGTGTCATCAGTAACACCGGAAGACTCACAGAAAGGCTGTTAGAACAGTAAACTTGATGTATTGTTGCTTTGATGTGCAAACTTAGCTTCAACATAAAAAACAAAATAAATTTTAAAAAAAAATCCACATTTGTAGTGTGGTTTAACAAACACGCACAAGTAGCCAAGTGGAACACGTGCCGCGAAGCCGTCGGGTCTTTTCCGGGTGAGGATGAGGATGAGAAAGCCGAAGAGGAGGCTCAGTTGCGCAAGAGGAGGCCGTGGACATGGCGGAGTTGACTTTGCGTCAGGAGCACGCGGTGGACCTGCTCCTGACCCCGAGGACACGGGACCATCACACGGCCCACCAGCACGCAGGAGGCCCCGTTCTCCTCCTTGGCCTGAAACCCACGCGGCAACATTCGGCGCACTTGGACTCTTGTTTTTGAATGCATTTCAAAACGAAAGATGATGAAAACGTTTTTCAAAAAAAGTTGCAATGACTTTTTTCGAGTTTACGGACTATATACATGACCTATTTGAGCCATTTTGAAGGTCATTTAAGTTTTTGTATGCATGTTGGAGATTTAAAAAAAAACAAAAACAACAAAGAGGGCAAATTGAGTGTACTTGGTGTGTGCTGACCTTGACGAAGGAGGCGGCGGGGAAGGTGGCAAAATCGGACGGCACCCGGGCGCCCGGCTGCTGCTTGACCACGTGTTCGGCCACCTCGCCCTGGCACCAAAGCGCAACATGAGAGAGTGTGTGTCAGTGTGTGCGTGTTGTTTGCATGCGCTCACCTTGAGCCTGTCGAGCGTATCTCGCAGCGACTGCAAACGCGCCGTCTGCTCCAGAAGCTGAGCGCTCGGTGTCACTGCAACCATCAATACTCGAGGTTTGAGCCGCAACTCGTTCAATGCGTTAAGTCAGCTCAATGACATTGAAATTCAAATTAAAACTACGAGAATGACATCAGAACTGGGATTCATATAACCTTTCCCAAAAAAATTGTACCACCAGAACAATAAAAATGAGACAGCTGGGTTTGTTATGCAAATATTAGCAGCGTTTTGTTAGTCCCAAAATTATTATTTTTTTAAATACAACTTGGGGGTAAAAAAACAAACAAACAAAAAAAACTTAAATATGATTACATTTTTTTCCAATAAATAATTGAAAGAAATGCAACTTTTCCCAAAATAAATAAACTTTGACCCAGAAACTCTAATTTACTTTCCAAAAAAAATCATTAGATCTCAAAAAAAAAAAAAGCTTGTTTTGAAAAAAAAATTGACCTTTTCTCAAGCACATAGGACTTGTTCTTCGAAAAATGAAATTCACTGATATGGTCCAAAACTTTTTTGCTGATTTTGACGTTCTTGAAAAGTTGATTTTTATTCTTTTTTTTTTTTTTTTTTAATTAAGTAGAGCCGGAAAGATACAAGTTTAGAAAAATACTCCCCCCACCTCCTTTAAAAATGACCGAGTCTTGTAAAATGACGACGCCACCGAAAATAAGCAATCACGTGACTTACCGGGACATTTGCCAGTGATGTCGACCACTTTGACGTTGGCGCTCATCTGCAGCAGGGTCTCCAGTAGTTGGTCCGTCTTCCTGTAGAGGGCGCCGGAGAGCGGGGCGGGCCTGTCCCCGGACGGCAGCTTGGTGACGCGCAACGGGGGCAGCGCCGCCAGCTGGCTGCGCATCTTCTCCGCCTGCGAGAGAGGCGGCGGACGGCGTTCAGAAGAGCCTTTTGTCGGGCCGGGCGGCCTGCGGCTTTACCTTCAGCCAGTTGTTTTGGTTCTTCAGCTGCTTGATGCAAAGTCGCTGAGCTTCCAGCTGACGCGTCAACAGCGGCGAGTCCACCACCTGGATGCCGGCGCCCGACGCGCACGACAGGCTCGCTGCGGGCGGCGGCACAGCGGGACACGCGTCAATTGTCGAACGGTAATGAGAACAACTCTTCCGATCAAAACAAAAAAAACAAAACACGGAAATATTTGGACTTGGCGGAATGAACAAATACAACTGAAGTCTGGTTAAGATGATTTTCTTGACTGATGAACAACAAAAAAAAAAAAAAAAGGAAAAAGACAAAAGACTTGCATTCAGACTTCCTTTTGCAGTCGTATGATATTTTGGAATGATTTTTTTTCTCTGTAAAATGCATCTTTTTTTTTCCCCTCAACGTGATTGAGGACACACAACTCGAATAAAAAGTTCAGAAGCCTGAAAAACAGAAATGAATTGGCGTGCAAAATGGAAGCGGGTGGCATGCATGTGTTGCATGTCGCTACCTTTTTGCTCCTCTGCACATTTTGTGAGAGAGATTGGGGGGGAGGAAAGGGGACAAACAATTGATGTGAAAAACTGCAGTCCACCCTTCAGCCACAGCAAAATATTGTCCATTTGCAAAATGCCATCGTCATTAATTCAAACGATTTTTTGGGGGGGAAACAAACTATTTTCCGTGGCTTTCCTGATCAGGATATATCTCTGGCCCAATCGTTTTTTTGGGGCGAACGTCGCCTCCTTACCCGGGAGCCCAAGCGGGCCGCTCCCCCGCGGGCTGTCGCCGGCCGTCTTAGCCTGTCCACCGAGGCGCTGCTTGAGCTCGGCCTTCTCGGCCTCCAGCTGGTCGATGTCGGCCTGCAGGGCGTCCATCGTCTCCTCGAAGTCCCTGCGGGCGGACGGCACGGACGGACGGACGGAGTGAGTGAGCCAGGTCGGACGTGAGCGCGGCGCGAGCCCCCGCTGTGATGTCAACTCACTTCTCTTTCTTCTTGAGGAGGTTGTGGGCTTCGTCAAGCAGGGTTTGGATCTTCTCCACGCGCTCGTCGGCGTCTTTGGACGAACTGTCCAGCTTCTTCTCCAACAGGCTCAGCCGCACGTTGGCCTCGCTCAATTCTTCGCCCTGAGGGGGAAAAAAAAAATAAAAGTAAAAAATGTCAGGAGCGTGCTAAAAGCTGGATGACCAGAATTTGGTCAAAGTTCCACGAAGTGGAAGCCGAACCCCCCCCCCCAAAAAAAAAAATGCATTTTTGAAAAACAACAACCTGAGCCCTCCCACGCCACACAAGGAAACAATGTTTTGTTTTGTTTTTTTAAATCAAGATTTTTTTTTTAAACACAAAAGCTGTTTTCTCCATGAGGAAATTTTATATTGTTTCATATTTGTGGGTGCTTTTTATTTTCGCCTTGACGAAATAAAAAGTAGACGCGAGCGTTTGTTGTCACCTTAATCTTGAGCGATTTCTTGAGCTCCTTGATGACCGTCTCCCTGTCTTCCAGCTTCATCCCCAAACCTTCCGCGTCCGTCATTTCCGCGCGGAGCGCTGCCGCCCGCAGCTCGGCGGGAGGCGCGACCTGAAAGGAGAGAAGAAAAAATAAAAAAAGGATCTCACCGGCTCATCCCAAACAGAGAAATGTCCCGAGTTGTCCAGTCAAGTCACCTTCGGGCGAGGCCGCTCGGCGTCGTACTCTCCCTCCTGCATGGCGGTGGCCATCTTGTTCATGGTCGCGATGACGACGCAGCACGACTGCCGCAGACACTCGTACGGGTTCGCGCCCGGATGCCCGTAAATCTGAAGGACAAAAATCACATCTCTATCCAATTGAAGGAACTCTCGTCATTTTTGAGAAGAACGTTTTTGCGGCGCGCTGGACCTGCTCGGCGGCCTTGAAGGCCACGTCCTCCAGCTTGGCGGCCGCCAGCCCCTCCTGCTCGGCCAGCGGCGACATCATCTGCGCGCCGGCCGCCGCCACCTCCTGCAGCAGCGCCACCGCCCACGTCAGCTGCTTGCGGCACTCGCGCAGCGTCTCCGACACCTGCGAGCACACGCGTGTCCGTAAGACCGCTGGCCAGCGGAACAAACTCGGAGGTTCCGGATTCGCCGGCGCGGCGGCTCACACCTGCGGGCCGAAGGCGAGCGCCGAGGGGATGCCGGGCGCGTCGGTGCCGGGCATGCGGCGGCGGATCTTCTTGCAGAACTGCCGCACGTCCCCGCAGGACGTCTCCAGGTCCTTGAGCAGCACGGCCAGCTGGGCCTTCTCCTGGCCGGCGTGCAGGAAGGCCCGCAGGCGGCCCGCCTCCACCCACATGCAGTCCAGCGCGCTCTGCGTGAACTAAGCCACCCCAACGCGGGCGCCGTCAGCGGCAGGAAAGAAATGCCACGTGGGGGTTGGGTTTTTTTTTTTGGGTTTTTTTTTTTGGGGGAGGGGTTGGGGGGGGGGAGTTCTTACTCGGATGTGGTCGGCCAGCTGCATGGTGCAGTCCTCGTCCTGCTCTGACAGGTGGATGCTGTACAGTTGCTGGAATGACACAATGAGAAGAAGACGTTGACCGACATTTAAAAAAAAAAAAAATGCTGATTGTAATACCCTGTCAAGAAACTCTTGCTTCCGTGATCTTTCGTCATCGAAAGCAAAAATTTAAACAATCATTATTACATTTTGTAATTTTAGGGAAAGGGGTCATCACATACCAAGAATAATTTGTGAGTTTACCCCCTCCAAAAAAAAAAATTCTTGGGGGTCAAAATTTTACAAGATCTTCTTCACTGGTTATTTTTTCAAGACAATCTTACGCAATGAATTTGTGATTTTGGAGGGAAGTGATGACATGACAAAAATAAATGTTGATTTTAAAAAAAGTCAAAAGTATGGCAAATACAAGACATCATTTTGAAAATAAACCTGAGAAATTTCAAAGCAGAAAAGTTTTAACAATGCGAGCACCAAATTCTCACTTCAACTTTTGCAAAAGTCAAGACGATGGAAGAATTTCAGTCGAGCGGCCGGCGTCACCTGGTAGTACTTGATGGCCTTGGTGAGCGCCTCCACGTTGACCGTCTCGTCCAGCTGGTCCTTGTGCAGCAACTGGATGAGGAAGTCCAGCGAGCGCTCGTGGACGCTCATCTCCGGGTACAGAGAGCCCATCTTCTTGTACGCCTCCACGCCGCACTCGCACAGCGCTCTGAAGCACACGCGCGCATCGTTTGGAATCACAGATGACGTTTGAATCAATCCTCACAAGACAAACGGCGTGGCCGTCGCATTCAAGTGAAGGAAACGGATTTTCCAGCCCAGGTGGGTGAAAGCGCGCCGCCTCGCTTCCAGTTTGCCGCCACGTACCGCTCGTATTTGTGTA